TCATCAACCTCAGATTTATTTACATCCTCATGAGTACTTTTGAAAGCTAAAGCATCTTTCTATTTTTTCTTTGAAAGAAAATTTGACTCATAGGTTTGTAAATTTCCAATCAATTGATCCATCTTTAGAGTGTCAATGTTTTGAGGTTCCTTTATAGCTATAACTTTCAATTGAAAATGATCAGGTAATGATCTCAAAATTTTTGCAACAATCTTAGATTCAAGAATTTTCTTGCCCAAAGTAAAAGTAGAATTGACAATATCACTTAGCTTGGCATAAAATTCATCAAATGACTCATTATCACACATTATAAGAGTTTCAAAATTGGCAGTGAGTTTTTGAAGTTTAGACCTTTTAATAGAATTTGTGCCCCCATATATCCCATGCTTTTTTAGCAATTTCACACGTGCAAATACAATGGAAATCCTCAAGTGTGACAAAGCTAAAGAGAGCATTGATAGCCTTGCTATTCCAGTTTGAATTCGAGCAATCGTTAGTATCCCATTTGCCAACGGGTTTCAGGATAGTAACTTCATCAATGGTAATCATGGGTTCACTCCACCCATTTATGACGGATTGCCAAACTCTCTCATCGATTGATTTTAAATAAGCCCTCATATGAGCCTTTCAATAAGACTAGTTTGTTCCAGAAGGGAAAGAAATTTATTGTTGTTTCCCCCTTGATTTGAATCCATAATCAATATCACGAAGAACAAATCACGTTACTATAGCTTTTCTTGAAAGCAAAAGACAAGCGATCCACTCTGACACCAATTGAAAAATTATAGTCCCATGATCTTGTGATTATTTATTTAGAGTTTCAAACCACCCAAGCTCAACAATAAAAGAAAGAACAAAAAGCAAACAAAACACAATGTTTTTTACGTGGAAAAATCATAGTTGGAATCCACCAACAAGTGATTAAAAAACCACGGGCCCTCGGCCACAATAACAATCCACTATGAAGAAGAGTAGTACAAAAGATTTCTTACAGCGACTAGACACTTCAAGCTTGCTTGAGACCAACAAGTAACTCAAAATCTATCCTTCAATCAGTGTATGTCCGCCATCACAATTGAGATGTCAAATCCATGACTCACTCAAGAACACTCACGAATTATTTTGTGATTTGGTTAAGACTCGATGATTTCATGAAAGAACAAATGAGAATGAATCATCAAGCAAACATGAGAGAAATATACAATGTAACCTCACTACAACACTCTCTCAAAATACAAACTTAAGATACAAACTCAAGGGATAGAAATACACAACTGAACGAGCATGCTATTTATAGACAACACATTCGCAGGCACGAGCTGAGGGTCGCAGGCATGAGATGCTGGTCGCGGTATACAGAGAAAAGTATCGGGACCATGTTTTTCTCATAGCCTGTTTGAGGTCTGGTTGTGGCCGCTATGCCTCTTAATCGCGGGCACAATGATGCATGGCAAACAAGCTGTTTTTTCAGACTTTTGCAGCCTTCTTCTCTCCATGTGCTAAGGCATGATTTTCTCCATTCATTTTCCAGACAAACAACAGCCCTTGTGCTCAACTTTCTACAAATGTCAATATGCTTTTGACAAAGAAACCAATGCACCAAGACAACACACATTTATTAAACCAAGAAGGAAATTACAAGATTTTTGCTCAAGCATGCCATCAAAAATTTTGACCATTATTCCATAAAAACTCATATAGATAATGTACCAACAATCAACAAGACCATATGTTTTGTGAGGAAATTGCCAAACTCTTAGGATAAGAATCCTAACATTTTTAATGGCAAAATTATAAATTTACCCAATTCAGTTAGTTAATCTTAACTAATTTAATGATAATATTTTTTAAAAAATACTAACGATATTATTAATTAGACTAAATTGACACAAAATTTAAAATTAAAAGTTAAAATCGAGTCAATTGAAAGTATAAAGACCAAAATGATACAAGAAGTAAAATACAAGGACTACTAGTGTAATTTGCCCTAATAGTTATTAGAATTTACTATATATATATGTGTGTGTGTGATAATACTATGTGTATCATATAAGTTACGACTTATAACTCAATTTTATAGGAGTCATAATTAAAAAAGAAGAAAAAAGAGTTATAACTAAAACCCATATAACTAAAGAGTTCTTGAATTATAACTAAACTAATGTTATAACTAATATTACAATGAGTCATAACTAACACCTTAATAGATCATAACCAAATATTACAAAGATCATAACTATGGTGCATATCGTACACACCCCAAATGTGTGTACCATAGAATTTCTCGTTTATATTTATATAATATGAAATACTACATGAAGGCACAGTATAAATAAAATAAGTGATCAAGAAGGGAAAAATAAAAAAATAAAGAAATATAGAGGGAAAAAAAAGAGGGAAATAAAAAAGATAAAAATGAGAGAGAGAGAGAGAGAGAGAGAGAGAGAGAGAGAGAGAGAGAGCATGAGTGAAAAAAAATGGAGAAAAGAAGATGGATGAGTGAAAATTAAAGAAATCTTGACCCTATGATGAATTTGGGAATTAATTTCAGCTATTGATACAAAATGTATCTCTTAGGCATTTTGACACATTTTAAAAAATAGTCCTACGTTATTACATATATTTTGTTTACATTTCATATGTTTTTAGTAATGACACATAAAATAATAAATTAAATAACAAATTAACACCTCAATAGATCATATCCAAATATCACAAAGATTACAACTATGGTGCATATGCACCCCAAATGTGTATACCATAGAATTTCCCTTTTATATTTATATAATATAAAATATTAGTGTATACCTGTGCCTAAAGGCACCACGTAAATAAAATAAGTGAACAAAAAGGAAAAAAAATAAAAATAAAAAAAAGAAATATGGATGAAAATAAAAAATGGAGGGAAATAAAAATAAATAAAATAAAAAGATGGAGGAATGTGGGCAGAAACGAGAGAGAGAGAGAGAGAGAGTGCATGAGTGAAGAAAAAGGGGGGGAAATCTTGACCCTACGATGAATTTGAGAATTAATCTCAGCCATTGATACAAAGGGTTGGTTTGGGTTGTTCTAAAAAAGTGCACTTTTTGACTTATTAGCTTATATGGGTTGGGTTTGGGTTGGATTTGATGTGATGTGTTAGAGAGGTGATATGATTTAAATAAGATGATGTGACTTAAATAGGATAGTGACTTTTTGACTTTTTGTATTATTTAGGACATGTCAAACCAAGCCAAAATGTATCTTTTAAACATTTTGACACATTTTCAAAAATAGTCCTACCTTATTACATAGATTTTGCTTACATTACATATGTTTTTAATAATGACACATAAAATAACAAATTGCATTGATAGTTTTTATACCTTGATCTTTGTATTATTTTGGTTTTTACAATTTTAACTAACTTGATTTTGACCATTAATTTTTTATTTTTGTATCAATTTAGTCTAATTAATTACATTAGCATTATTTTATAATAAAAAAAGGACATATAAGTTGCGCGTGTCATGTTTTTAGAGAGAAATTTGTAAACTTAATCAATTCAGTGAATTAATCTCAATAAACTCAATGATCATTTTTTTTAAACAAACCTAATAGCATTGTTAATTGGACTAAATTGACACAACAATTGAAAGTTTAAGGATTAAAATAACAGGCCAAAGTGTAAGGACTATCAATGTAATTTACCTAAATAAAATATGATAGATAAATGAGATCATCATGATAGTATTAACATTGCAATGATCATATTTGTATACCACCAAATGCTTTATCGTCGTATGTGACACATGAGATAGTAAATTGTATACAAAATGTAGTCGTTGTACATTTATTTGTGGGCAATGGAGTAATTTAGGAGATCCCCCTTCCTTTTGTCCTACAACTTCTTCTTCTCTTCTTGTCCAGCTAAGTGTGGGCTCGTTTCGAAAATAAGCTTATTTAGTTTTTTTTTTTATTATTTGTTACAAAAAGATATATAAAAGTATAAAAAATAGACAACTGTAATGACTTTTTGTCGTTTTAATTAAAAATCTTACTTCCTAAACACCCCCTAATTCAAGTCAAGTGTTAATAAAATATTGGTGTTTGAAACAGGTTTGAAAGAACTCTATGAAATATATGAAGAGGTTTTTTTTTTTTTTTTTTTTTGGAAAATTTTTTTTTTTTTTTGGCAAAATAAGAATTTCATTCAAAGAGAATAACAAACATACATAAGAGTTCTCATATTCAAATTACATAGCCAACCAAAAACCATTGCAAACATAAACTAAAGAATAATGCTATATGCACCAATTGGTATAGTAATTAGTCTATTAACGGATGATTTAGCATAATTTTAGAAGCTTTGGATTTTTGGAGTTTGTATAATGGGTAGAGTCATAGTGTTGAAGTGGCAAGGTCATAGTGTTGAAGTGGCAATGTCATAGCATATGATATACTAATTGGTATACCAATTGATACATGTAACCCCACCATAAACTAAAACAAGGAAGCTAAATTACGACCAAGAAAGATTGTAAAATATCAATAATGGACACCAACCTGATTTCACAATTATTTAGGAATATGAAGTATATGTTTTGTGTGAATATTTGTATTATATAGCTCAGCCAAGTCAAGTCTGTCAACTCTTGTCCTATCCTATGACTGCATTACAAATTTTATAAAGTGAATATTAATAACAATAGTAACCACAACAACCTTCTAATTCTGTATTGTTTTTAGCTTTCTATCTGAAACTCAAACCAGTTATGGAAGGGCATAACCCTGTCTCTCTCTTTAGATTGTTGTTAATACAATCATTCACGGTTTGGTTGGCCATGTCTTCTTCCAACATCACTGATCAGTAAGCTTTACTTGCCTTCAAGTTTGGAATCAAGTTTGATCCCACAAATGTCTTGGTCCACAATTGGACCACTTCAACCAGTTTTTGTAATTGGATTGGGGTCACCTGTAGTACCCGTAGACAACGGGTTACTGTTTTGGACCTTGGACACATGGGTCTTCAAGGCACCATCTCCCGACACCTCTCTAACCTCTCCTTTCTCGTGGTGTTAGACCGACAAAACAACAGTTTCCATGGCAGCCTGGCACATGAGTTTGGCCATTTACATCGTCTGAAAGGACTATGGTTGCAATACAACTACTTGGAAGGAACAATCCCAACAAGTTTACACCAGTGCCGAAGATTACGAGTGATATATCTGGCAGATAACAACGTCACTGGTGGTATACCAGAAGAGTTGGGCATGTTACCTGAGCTTCGTTATCTATCCATAGGTGAAAATTACAACCTTCTGGGTACCATTCCATTATCACTTGGCAACATCACAAAATGGGAGTACTTGGCAGTGGAGAGAAGCGGGTTGACAGTTTCAATTCCTTTTGCTATCTTTAATCTCATCTCACTGTGGTACATTTTTCTTCCACAAAACATCATCTCTGGCACTCTGCCTGATGACCTTTGCCTCAATTGTCCAAATCCTGAAGAGTTTGTTCTTGCTTACAACCAGATAAGTGGCCCACTCCATTCTATGCTACACTTGTGTCAAGAGCTTACACAATTAGTTCTATATAATAATAGTTTAAATGGAAGTATCGCAGAAGGAATCGAGAGTCTTCCTAAGCTTGAGAAGTTTTATATTGGAAATAACAAGATTGCTGGAACCATCCCACCTTCTCTGGGCAACATTTCATTTCAAGTTTGCCGCAACTGTATTTAGGGGATGGCCATATTCGTGGAAACATTCCTAATGATTTGGGTCGCCTTTCAAAACTAATTGAATTTAATATTGAAGTGAATTACCTCACTGGGGCAATACCTCAAGAAATATTTAACATCTCCTCCCTACAATATATTTGCCTTGATTTTAATGATCTCTCTGGAAACCTCCCGGAAACTGCTGGGCTTCGGCTTCCAAATCTTATGTTGCTTCAGCTGCAATACAACCAACTTGGTGGAAACATTCCTGCATATTTGTCTAATTCTTCCAGGCTAACAAGGTTGAATCTAGAAGTCAACTTATTTACTGGACACATGCTGACAAATTTTGGAAATTTGCAGCTACTCCAGGAGATCAATGTTGGAGACAATCAGCTAACAAGAGATCCTTGAAGTCCGGAACTTCATTTTCTCACTTCTTTGACAAATTGTAGAAGCTTGGAAAATTTGGTTGTTGAAAACAACCAATTCAATGGCATCTTACCAAATTCTATTGGAAATCGCACAAGTCCCCTTCTACTTTTTGTTACTTCTAACTGCCAAATAATGGGTCACATTCCTAGGGGAATCGGTTATTTTGAAAACTTGAATACGCTTTATCTGGACAACAATGGTCTGAAAGGAACCATCCCATCAACAATCGGGAAATTACAGAGCCTACAAAGATTGTATCTTGATGGAAACAAGATGGAGGGAATCATTCCAAATGAGCTTTGTCTTTTGAAAAAGTTAGCAGAGTTGTCACTCCAAAACAATGGCCTCTCTGGACCAATCCCACCTTGCATAGCAAATATTAGTCTTCTATAGAAGGTGGTGCTAGGTTCTAATGCCCTCAACTCATCAATACCGGTAAACTTTTGGAGCCTTGAAAATCTAATAGTCTTGAATTTATCTTCTAACGATTTTGGAGGAAGTTTACCACTGAATATAGGAAAGTTGGAAATCATAGAAAACATGGATTTATCTTGGAACAAAATCTCGGGAAACATATTGCCATTCATTGGGGCCTTTCAGCGCCTTAGCTCTCTAAACTTGTCAAGAAACTCATTTGAAGGTACCATTCCACAATCTTTTGGTGATGTGATAGCATTGGAATCTATAGATCTCTCTTGCAATAATCTATCTGGCAGCATACCCAAATCTCTTGAGAAACTTAGGTATCTCAGTTATTTGAACTAGTCATTCAATAAGTTGTCTGGAGAGATTCCAAGTGGAGGACCTTTTGCAAATTTCACTGCAAAATCTTTCTTGCATAATGAAGCACTCTGTGGAAGCTCATATTTACAAGTCCCACCATGCAACCATGGCCCCAAAAAATCGAATATGAAAAAAATTGTGCTCGCATGTGTCGTAGCAGCCACTGTTTTGGTGGTAGTTATTGGATTCTTATATATGCTGAGAAAATATCAACAAAGTAAAGTGCGGACTCCTAATTCTGTTGAATTGTTATTGAAGAACAATTGAATCTTTTATATTATCTTTATGATCAGATACATTGTATATTTATACAGATATCATGTAACAAACTTCTAACAAACTATAACAAACTCTAACTAACTTTGAGTTAACAAACTCTAATTACTAACTAACCTGGGTTCAACAAACTAACTACTGAACTAACTATCTTGAGGTCTTGAGCTTGCTGCAGAGCCATCTGATGCAGAGAGAATCTTATCAATTACCATCCATGCCGTGATGAACTCAATTAAAAATCCCACAAGCCTAATTCAGCTCAACTCAACAAAGTTTGGAATTTCAAATTAAATTCCACTGAAATCATATTTCAACAAATTGGATAGCTTTAATTTCCATGGAACATATTAGCACCACGAAAACCCATTTGAACTTGGGATACAACGTTACTACCATTGTACTATATTAACTTTAAACATGAGATAGAACTTAATACCCTTCAACCCTCACTTGGAAAGACTGTAATCACGGTATGATGTAGTTATTGCTGTCTTCAAAATTCCGATTGAACACTCACTGAACTTCCGGACCCTCGCAATGGACAACAATACCGCAACAGTAAAATGGTTAAATGCCCGAAGATCTGATTTCACCAACCCCATAACCTCTTGCCCCAGAGAAGGATCCTGCTTCACCGCGAAATTCACATGTAGCAACACAGTTCCTTCAACCTGTCGAACTATCGAACTTGCCTTCGACCCCATTTTCGATCCGAAAAACATCACAATCCCTTCTACCACATCTCTCTTGCTAAACCCTTTCGAAGCCAAAACCAACAACTGATACACAAGCGAAGGCAAGTCCTGCAATTCCACATCCCTCATTCCACCAAACACCTTATCCAAAAACTCCCCACACCTCCCCTTATCGAGAAACGAAAATTCGCGAACAATCGAAACCATCTTCACTAGCAAAACCCTAGACCAATCACAACCAAGAACACGATCAATCACCGAATTGACATAATCTCTGCGTAATTCGATCTCGTTGGAATTGCGAATCAAGTCGAGGCATTTTGGGAGGAGATCGAGGACTTGAGCATCGTCGGGGTCGAGAATTTGGGGTAAACTAGAGACGATTGAGTCGGAAATGGAGATTAGGGTTTGAGTGGGGATGTTTTCGAAGTGAAATGGGAAGAGTTTAAGAGTGGTGAGAGAGTTGCGATCGTGGGGGATTTTGCGGGAATTGAAGAGGGAGATGTAGGAGAGGAGGAGAGAGGAGAGAGAAGGGTTTTCGGAGGAGGAGTGAGGAGAGAGAGAAAGGATAGAGAGGAGAGAGGAAGTGTATTCGGCGACGGAGAGAGAGGCGGAGGGAGAGGCGGCGCGTGAGTGGAGGAAGGATATGAGGGTTTTGGTCTTGGGGAGGGGTGCGTAGGTTTGGGGTTGTTGCTGGGCTAGGCGTACAATATCGACGTCCGTTAGGGACGGCTGCGGAGGGTGGCGGATGTGCGGTGGTTCTTTTGTTGTTGCGGCGGTCATTGGTGGTGGTGGTATCGGCGTTTTCTGCAACTCCTCTCTCGCAAGTTTGGGGAAGTGAAAGCTTTTTTGGAGGTTCGAGAGGCTCGTCTTGCGCGGGAAACCCGAAAAGCTTTTTGGGCCTCGGTACGGGCCGCCCACTAAGCCCATTGCTATACATTGAGTGATTTTATTTACATGTAAATAATAATTCTATACGTCCGGTTAAAATTTTGAAATTTTAGTTATTATAATATTTTAATATAAATTTATTAATAATGACAATGCATATTAAATTTTAAAATAAAATATTATATTTTTTTCATAATATACCTTAATTACATATTCAAATCTCTTTATTTTCTTTTCAAATTTTAATTATTTTCTCTTCATCTTTTTCCTCTCTTCAAAATTTTAGTCCATCTTACTAAAACTTACGATTATCATCAATTCAAACAAAATCAAACAATGAATAAAAATAATAATCTTGGAATTATGTGTTACCATCACACCATGTGTAAAAGTAAATTTTTACACTTGCCTACATGATTGACTATTATGGGGAATCACCTAAACCTAGCCTTCAAAAAAGTTTTTGTTATACTTTGTCCATCAACGATGGCAGAACACAAAGGAGTAAAAATACATAATTTTTAACTACACTTTTTTTTTTGGGGTATTAAAAAAAGGGTAGCTTTGGTTTCATTAGTTTCCAATCTCGGGCTAAGACCTTGCTTTAGGCGAAGTATAAGGGCGCCTCACCGAGAGCGACGACCATTTGTGTAATATTTGGAACAAATATTGAAGTTTGCACGCTGTTAAAAAGCCCTTCGGCACTTGAAACTCATATTATTCCTATGTTTAGATTTTTGTTTTTTATCAGATCTTCACAAATGTATAAAAATAGATAATTTTAGTCTCCATATAATGAAATCAATAGAAAAAAGATTTAGCGGAGGAGAAATTTTATTGAACTTCTGTGGTGGTAATGGATTTGAAAATTGTTTCATAACTAGAGATGAAAGATGAATATATAAAGATTTAGGACAAAGAAACTAAAAAGACTGTGAAAAATCAAAAAGAAGAAAAAAAAGAGATTAAATTTAATAAAATAATAAAGACAAATCTTATGGAATGACTTATATTTAAGTCCTTTTCTGTTATTTTCGTAGAACCAACAAAAGCTTCTTCTTTGGCAATGACGAGGCTCTTGATGCCTAGGGATGACAATTTGTGTAACAATTTAAAAATTTAAGTTGTTTCTTAAATTTTTATATTAGTATTATTTAATTATAAATGATTTAAAAATAATAATTTTAACTTTATATTATTATTCAATATTATTTTCTGAGTATTATGTTATTTTTATTATATTTTTCTCTATATTTTTCTTAGGCCAAAATACACGGAACCGTAACATTTTCTGTACAACAAAGAAGCGTGCCCCCCAATTCACTTGCTGACCACGCCTCCTCCCCTATATATAGGGATGTTCACCGTATGCATCATCACCAGTTCCAATTCCAAGCTCTCTTATTCTCTCTCTCTCTCTCAGCTCTTTAGTGTTTTTTCATATATAAAATTTTAAGTTTAGTTTGGAGTATTTAGTAAGTCACAGTGAATGAAAAGTAAAAGTTGGAAATAATATTAAGGTGAGTTATATTATACCTTGAGTCACCGTCATATATTTTACGTATGTTTTGAATTACCATAATTTATTTTACACAATTTGTATTTTATAAATTATATTAGCACTTTGAATTTATGAACCTTATTTTATATAATAAGAAAAACCCATGGATATAACTGTTTATTAAAATGTGTTTTGAGTAATTATTTTATAAGTACCACTACGGAGGTCCTATGTCTTAGGGGACTTAAATAACCATTGGCCCTCTGATTAGTCACTTTGTGGCCCTCTGTCTGTCATGGATCCACTGACACTCTGATTTCTTTGGGCTTTGACATTCACTCACGCCATTTCATGACTTCGAGCTCTGTCTGCTAAAGATTGGGGTGATGGTGGCATTGTAAATTGGCTTAGAGATGAGATGAATTCTCACCCCGAATGCATACCAAGCTTCCTCGAGCTACTAAGAGTTTTGCCTGAGGTATACTCAATTCTGTTCAGAAGAAATATTTAATTTGAAATCAAGCTTTGTCTGTCGATGAGATCATAAAAGGGATGGCGTCATTGGGCCTTAGGTAGATATGTTATTGGGTGCTACTACTTATCTTGGGGATTTGACTGTGGCTTAAAGAACTCATTTTGGAACAAAATAAACTTCAAGTTAGGAAATTGTGTAAATGAGAAGTTTGGCAATGCTGATGCATATGTGCACTTCAAACTGTCTTTGAAACAAATTTAATACCTATGATGTTTCATGTTAAGATGTTTTTTTTGTGTCCCCACATGTCTAATGTGTCCAATTCCTCCAGCTTATCCGACATGTGTTCAGGGCATGTTCATGTCTAACAAGTGTCTGACATCGTGACCGCCATAGCGGTGTCCATGCTTCATAGGCTAAGAAGCACGGCATAAACACTACACAGATGTGTCGACAGGAATATTATCAGACAATGTCGGACATGACACGTGGATGACACACAAAAATATATAGATTTGAATATTTATTATATATTATATATAGTGTAAGCAATTATTATATGTTATGTATTATGAATATTTAATTATTTTTTTACAACAAAATGCAATGCAACACTAATTTTCAAAGTCTGAAGGATGAGAATAGGCATAAATTTATATATATTTTTTTTATCATTATATTCCAAATTATTTTATTCTCTCTCTCTCTCTCTCTCTCTCTCTCTCTATGCATATGTCTGTGTTACTCTTGGGAAACTGAAAGCTTTGTGATTGGGTATTTTTGGTTGTTCATGTGGATGTTCTAAATTCTTATGTGATTATGATATCCATTTTGCACAACTTCCCCACCCTAGTTTACATGATAGAACTCTCATAACTGGTTTGAATATCTGTTTGTTTCAGGATCCCTGCTTCTACACTTGCTTCTCACCCATTGGTGCTAACAGCTCTCTCTAGCTTGAATTCTGATATCCTTTCAGAGGCATCCGTGAATGGTACAATGATTGACACAAACTAATTTTTATATATGGTCGCACTATGATAGATTTTTCAACCATTCAAGTTTAATGAAGTTGTGTTAATGGAATTGGATGATTCAGTTATATAATCATCATTTTGGTGAAGATGATTGATGACTTGATGAAGCTGAAGAGAGCTATGGATGAAGTTATTTTCAGAGAATTTGGAGAGCACACTGAATATTATTATTTTTATGATTTTGTATTGTCATATTGTATTTAAAGGAGTTTTATTTATTTATTTATTTTATGGAAAATTGAAAAATGAATGCTCATTCACATTATGGTATATATTTTGAGAATGGTGATGGATGATATAGGTTTGGTTTGAACAAAAGTTAAAAGCTCATTAATTATGATTTTTCTTTTTTTTTTTTCAAAAAGATGAAAGAAATGGTGGCGTTTTTTTTAAAAACGTCGCGGAATGTCGTCAGAGATAACTCCATGACGTCAGAGATAACTCCTTTAACGTGGATAGTTAACTGCTGGAAAGAATTAGTGGCGTTTTATAAAACGTCGCCTAAAGTCTTTAGTGGCGTTTTTAAAACGTCACAAAGATACAACGACGGCCGCATCATCGACGAATTTTATGAACTAGTCATTCAATAAGTTGTCTGGAGAGATTCCAAGTGGAGGACCTTTTGCAAATTTCACTGCAAAATCTTTCTTGCATGATGAAGCACTCTGTGGAAGCTCATATTTACAAGTCCCACCATGCAACCATGGCCCCAAAAAATAGAATATGAAAAAAATTGTGCTCGCATGTGTCGTAGCAGCCACTGTTTTGGTGGTAGTTATTGGATTCTTATATATGCTGAGAAAATATCAACAAAGTAAAGTGCGGACTCCTAATTCTGTTGAATTGTTATCAACCGTGGAGCATAGATTGATTTGTGTTGCTACAAGTAATTTTAGCGAAGCAAACTTGCTTGGAGTAGGAAGTTTTGGTTCTGTTTACAGAGGAATGCTTTCGGATGGGACAGATGTAGCGGTAAAAATTCTAAATTTGCAAGTTGACGGAGCTTTCAGAAGTTTTGATGCAGAATGTCAAGTGTTGCGAACAGTCCGTCATAGAAATCTTGTTATGAAGCAGATATTCTTATCAGTTATCAACCGTGGAGCATAGATTGATTTCATATCAGGAGCTTTGTGTTGCTACAAGTAATTTTAGCGAAAACTTGCTTGGAGTAGGAAGTTTTGGTTCTGTTTACAGAGGAATGCTTTCGGATGGGACAGATGTAGCGGTAAAAATTCTAAATTTGCAAGTTGACGGAGCTTTCAGAAGTTTTGATGCAGAATGTCAAGTGTTGCGAACAGTCCGTCATAGAAATCTTGTTAAAGTCATAAGTTCATGCTCTAACCCTGAGGTAAGAGCATTGGTTTTGAAGTACATGCCCAATGGAAGCCTTGAGAAGTGGTTATATTCTCACAACTACTGCTTGAAATGGTTAGCATCATGCTTGATGTAGCACTAGCTTTGGAATATCTCCATCATGGTCAGTCCGAGCCTATTGTTCACTGTGATTTGAAGCCAAGCAACGTTCTGTTAGATGAAGACATGGTTGCTCATTTGGGTGACTTCGGCATTTCCAAAATTTTAGTTGAAAATAGGATTGCAACACAAGCCCAGACTTTGGCTACCCTTGGCTATGTTTCCCCAGGTAAAATTTTCTTTTCCCTTCTGTATTTTGCAATATTTCTTTTTAATTTTTCATGACCATTCATTCAAATATGCGAAAGGTATATTATATTTAAAGAGACGTACGTGTAGGTCCTAATAGGTAGACTATTGGTCTTGTGATAATTAATGGTATTTTTTATCAAACACTATTAAAAAAATATCACTAATTAGAAGTTTTAGCGATAGTTTAAAAAAATTGTCACAAAAAAAATCACTAATTTTTTACTTTTAGTGACAATTCAAAAAATTTATCACATAAAAGCGTCACTAATTGTAAGTTTTAGAGACGATCTATAATAATCGTGACAAAAAAGTCATTAATTGTTAATTTTTAGCGACATAAGAAAAAAAGTGTCACAAAAAATTATTTTTAGCGACGATTTTATTAAGACTAACTTTCAATAGGATTTAATGAGACTTAAGTTTAACTATTAAGATCTATTAATAATTTATCTTATATTATTTAAACAACTTGCAGATGACTTAGAAGGATCATGTAGATGGGGAGGCAAAACAATTTCACTTTTTCTTCTTTTGGTGACATGGTATAGCATATGGACGCAAACAATAATAAAAATACATATTGATGTTCGTTGCCTAACCTGAGAACGCTGTAAATTTTTTGATAAAAAAATAATTTTGTATTATATAATTTTGGATACTAATATATCTCATGCCAGAAATTAATCACTTCATTTAGGTTCCTTCCAGGTTGGACTACTGAATTTCAAGAAAATGAAATTTGTAGACTACACTCATTTAGTGTATAGTCCACATCACAATAAATTTGAACTTACACTTTAGGATAAATTACAAGTCCCTACAATTTAACATTTTTTTCGTTTAAGTCCCTAAAGTTTAAATTTTGCCAATTTAATCCTTAAAGTATTAAATTCAAATCAATTTAGTCCCGAAAACAATATAAAAATAAACGTAAGTCCAAAGATTATATAAAATTGTTACAATAAGGTCCGAATTTTAATTTATTGTTAGCTTAATTATCCTCCATGCATGTGTTTTAGAATTAATATCAAAGTTTGATTTATCAGTTTTGTCAATATTAATATATGAGTATTAGACACTGAAAAAGACGAATAAAATAATTTAAATAATAGTACTATACTACAAATAATTATCGAACAAAATAATAATCAGGTTATTAAAAGAACTTAATGAAAATCTTGAGGAAAGTCAATTAGAAATTATACATGATAAAGGTAAACAGTTAACTTTTATAGAAAAGAATACAGATAATTATCCTTATCCTTATTTTTACCAGGTAATCCTCCGAGAGAATCTTTTGAATTAATACCACCAGAAAAACAAAGAAATATATCTAAGTAATTATAATCTAAACGAATTATAAATAATGACAGGAAAAAATAAGATAAATAATAATGAAATAAAATAATATTAGAAATATCTGAAAAATAAGATAACATGGATTATTGCATCTTATAAGAAATAAATAATAGTAGAATAGAAATAAAAGTGGAAGATGACCTATATAAGTAATTAGAATTAATTAGTTTGAGAGAAATATACCAATTATAAAAACGCATGTGTAGAGGATAACAAACTTAACAATAAATTAAAATTTGGGTATGATCACAATTTTATATAACCTTTAGGCCTATATTCTATTTTTATATTGTCTTTAGGACTAAATTGATTCGAATTTAATACTTTAGGGACTTGATTGACAAAATTAAAACTTTAGAGACTTAAATGAAAAAAGGTGATAAACTTTAGGGGCTATTATTATAATTTATCCTACACTTTATTTTGGGCATTTTTTTGGGTATTGGTATCCTCTTCATGAGAAAAAATAACAACCCTTCTGCACTACTACAAACATATACATTTATTAAGGACAGCATTTTGAAATTTAGAGCTATGGAACTGATATGATGATGTAACTAATCTCGTTTGCTTGGCGGAAACTATGATGTTTGGCAGAGTATGGTTTGGAAGGAAGAGTTTCAATGAAATGCGACATATACAGCTATGGAATGATGTTGCTAGAGATATTTACAAGAAAGAGACCCACCGATGAAATGTTTGCTGGGGAACTGAGTTTGAGACAATTGGTGAAAGGATCACTTCCAAACTCAGTAGTGGAAGCGGTGGATGGCAACTTGTTAAGATTAATCGAAGTCAGCGAAAACATGATCGCTTATCTTTTACTAATCTTGGAAGTAGGTTTGGAGTATTGTGCAGAATTGCTTGAAGAGAGAATTAACATAAAAGATGTGGTAACCAAGCCTAACAAGATTAAATTGCAACTCCTTCGCAACGGACACACTTGTATTCCTGTATTTGTGTATTTCTATAATTTTGTAATTCTACATCTTTTTTGCAGTTTGTATTTCTGTAATTCCAAAATTTTGTATTTGTTTATTTCTGTAATTCTGCAGTGCAAATAATCATAGGTTTGTTATGCATATGTGTACCCAATATTGTTTTGAAAATCTCTTGGCAATATTATTATATATGGGTCCTGCTTGTCTCTAGGCTCGACTGTTTCGTTTGGGCCCATGTGACCTATCACAAAGTCTCACTTTTGATGATCTGAATCATTCATTTTTAGACCTCTATGTATAAATTATTCATAAATAAAAAATAAGTCGATCCAATAATTATAGTCACATTAGTGAATATTTTTAGACCCCAAGTGAATATATAATATCTATTACAATACAATAATATGAGGAAAAAAATTAAATTTGAATTTAGGCATGTTTGGTAACGTTTACGTTTTCAGTTTATATTTACAAAAATTTTACAAACTGGTTTTTGTTTATTTTTTGTTTATTTTTAGAAAAACATAAACTACAAACACGTTTGGTTTAGCCAAAATGTTTAAAAAAATTTAAAAATATAAAAAAATAGTGAGAAATGACAAGTGGTGGCGGGTGGTGACGAGTGGTGACGGCGGAAGACGGTGGTGGAAAATGATTGCGGGTTGTGGTGACAGAAGGCGGTGGTGGAAAATGGTGGCAAGTGATGGGTGATGGTGGCAGAAGACGGTGGTGGAAAATGGGGGCAAGTGGCAGGTGCGTGGATGGTGGTGGCGGAAGACGGTGGTGGAAAGCGGTGGCGGGTGGGTGGATGGTGGTGGCAAGTGGGTGGTGGATGGCGGATGGCGAGTGGGTGGCGGTGGTGGGTAGGTGGGTGACAGTGGCAGGTGGTAGCGAGTGGGTAGTGGTGGTGGTGGGTAGTGGGTGGGGGGGGCGGGGGGGGGGGGGGCAGGATGAGGTGGTTGGTCGTAGGTAGGGTCTTGGGTCTCATCAACCGGGGCACCAACTTGTTGCGGGATGCGAGATATGCTATGTTGTCATTCCCGCTGTAACAACCCGAAAATTTAAATTGTCCTTTAAATTTTATATTAGTGTTATTTAATTATAAAAAAATATAATTTAATGTATGATTAATTAAGCATAAAAAAAAGAAAGGAGATAAATGGATAAGGGAGCCGTGGATAAGCATGCAATTAAGTGAATTAAGTATAGAGGCCACATGGCGTGGCTATGCGTCAGCCAAACTTACTGAGCAAGTTATACATCTAGTATAAAAGAAGGAGTGGGTTGTGAATAAAAAGAAGGAAAACAAACAGAGAAGGGGGAAGAAAATATTGGATGGCAGGTGGGTGGTGAGTGGTGGTGGCAGGTGGTAGTGGCAGGTGGGTGGTGGTGGCGGAAGACGGTGGTGGAAAATGGTGGCGGGTGGTGGCTAGTGTTGGGTGGTAAAAAAAAAAAAACAGAAAACTCAAAACGGAAACACATTTTTTGAGTTTATATTTTTTGGCTAAATTTATAAACTGAGACCACTGATTTATAAATAAATAATTTACCAAACAAGTTTTTATTTGAGTTTTTTAAATTTTTGTAAATATAAACTGAAAACATAAGTGTTACCAAATATTTTAGTTTTGAATTATTGGTTATATTTGGGGTGTTTGTTTCAGATTTTCAGAGCCAACTTATGGCTTTTAGCTTTGAAAAAGTTATTTTGGACTGTTTGGTTAAACTTATTTCAAACAGACCACAGGGGGCGGAATGTAATTTCTCAAACCTCAGGGGGGAATTTGTATTTTCATCAAACCTCGAGGGGGGTGTTGGTAATTTGCCCTAATTATTTTTTATTTTTGATTTTTTTAAAAATAGAAAAAGACTCAAATGGACTATAGATTATGATTATTATTTTTTATGAGAAATGTAGACAAACAAAAAATAAAAATTAATTGAAAAAGCTATTTCACAGCTTATTTAACAAACACTACTCAGCAACTTAAATCTATAATCCAACAGTTACACCAAACAGATTAACAACTTCTGATTAAAGTCATAATCTATAATCTGTTAAGCTATAATCTATAAACTGTTTTAACAGCTATACCAAACGGGGCCATTGTTAAACTAGCCTACTGATGTACAAAAATTGGCTAACCCCCCAAGAATTGCCGCTGAAAGTGAGGGATCCTGTTGTGCCTAATAGGGAGTGCTCTGCCTCTCCATAGACTCCACCGTGGACCTCTTTTAATAATTCAAATTATTCATCTTATCAGACATGTTGAGAAAATTATCAATGCAAAAAAATTAAATTTATTGAAAATCAGTAACCACAAAATCAGATATTTTTGTTTCAAAAAATATTAATAATTTATTCTCAAAATCACAAATATCGTCCATATTTTTTTAGGACAAATATAATCTGATCATGTGGCTATCGATATCCAATCAAGCTAATGTTTTACATGAATGATCATCTTGATAGAATAAACAGAATAAATGGATTGAATCATTACATTACCCGAAGTGGAGCCATCTAAGGGGCACGAGATGGACCCTTATCCAACCTAATTAGACTATATGAGCAGTGCAAGCAACTAAATGAAACAAAATAAAAGATTTGAGCCCTTCTAATGCCACTCCATGAATTATTTCATTTAGATATTCACAATTTAATTTACTAAATATCGATACGTGGTATATGAGGAACAATATTCAAAGTCTTTAAATTATTTGAGGAGCTTAAAGTACGAGAAGTTGGAAGCATAATCAACGGTTGTAAATGTTCTGCAACAAAGCAAACAGAGGATCTCGTGGCCAAACTAAACAAAAGCAATTTCAGAGTTGCACATGACAACAAGACACAACTCAAGCTTATCCACTGCGAAGAAGCTGCAATTTGATATTTCCATAATGGCCAACAGATAATCTTTATTGACAAACACATCCCTACCATCTTCTGTTCTCAACAAACCACCATCCACAACTTCCATTACTCGGTCCGGAAGTGAAGCATTCAGCCATTGCTTCAAACTCTGTGCTTCAGAAAACATTTCATCTGTTGGTTTCTTTCTTGTGAATGTTTCTAGCAACGTTATTCCATAGTTGTATGTATCACCTTTGGTTGAGACTTTTCCTTCAGAACTATACTTTGACAAGAAGAATGACAACAAAAATAAAAATAAAAATGTTCTTAGAGCGTCTTTGATCTCTATGGTAGTTGTCATTGCTACAGGTAGAGAAAAAGTAGAGTTTAACTGCTGTTGCCTAAAAAAAGAAATTACACTTCTCCTATTGAAACATGGTTGCCAAATTTTAACATTTTGAATACTATAGCACACCAAATATCAGTTTGGTATGTGATTTTGGCAATTCAACATGAGAGATGGTCTTATAATAGTCTTATAATTTAAATATATATATATATATATATATATTCTGTTAGGACTTGTTTTAGATTTGAGAGTGCTATCATTTTTTTTTCCTAGGGAGGTAATTTGAATATAGTCAGAAATTCAAAAGAGCAACACATATTTACACAAAATTGTTTGGGGGTAAATTTTTTTTTTTTTGGGGTGGATATTTGGTACTAGTATAGAGTTATACTTACACAACCAAGCCCATAATTTTTCCTATTTGGGTAAATTACACTTACCTCCCCTGAGATTTCTGACAAATATAGGGACCTCCCTTATAATTTCAATAATTACAATAACCTCCTCTACTTTACCTGACAATGTCAAGATTCTCCTTTTTTTTTTTTTTTTACTGCAATTTACACACTTCACAGAACCTGCTAATGTCATCAAAGCTAAACACTAAAATGCCCATAATTCCCCTCAAGTGTCCTCAACCTATCTATATATACCAATGCCAAATGTTGGCTGGTCGTCCACCCGGACGTCCGGAACAATACTTCTTTTTTTTTTTTTGCAATTGCCAATCTTTTTTTTTTTTTTTTTTTGCAATTGCTACCTTTTATTTAAAAACACAACAACAAGCATGTTATCCACAACTATTAAAATTTATCTTATTTATTTATTTTATAGTATTACTCCAATCAAAATTTCAATTTACAGTGAGGTGAACACTAGAAGCAAAAACAAATAATTCGCCAAACAATAACAAAGAAACATGTTTGGTTCTCTTTTAGAATCACAAATTCCAATTAAAAAATTTCAAAAATCTTTTCAAAACTCATAACCAAATACACAACTCAAAACTATTCAAAACTCAATTCAAAAATTATTTTCAAAACTCATAACCAAACATACAACTCAAAACTCAATATAAAACTCTTTTCAAAACTCAAAGCCAAACTTTTCAAAACCCTATTTTAAAAGAAAAAATTTTAATTTTTTTTATTTTATATTTTAAAATTATTTTTAGAATCATGGTTGGAGTGTAGAGTCATATTTTGAGTTATGAGTTTTGAAAAGAAAAAATTTGTTTGGTTATAAGTTTTGAAAAAAGTTTTGAGTTGTATTTTGAAATTTTTTGGATTTATTTTTTTAGCGTAAATAGTTTATATTTTAAATATTTATTTATTTATTTTAATGTGCACTATATTTCATACATTTATGTGCTGTATTTTTTTAAATATTTTAAATATATTTTTAAATATTAAAAAAAAATTAAAATTAAATTTTTTTATTTTAAATATATAATTTTATTTTATAAATATATTTTTAAATATTTTAATTTTTTTGTTATGTGTTTGATTACAATTTGAGTGTAAAGTTTTGAAAGTAGTGTGGAGTTTCGAGTTATGTGTTTGGTTATGATGTTTGAAAATAATTTTTGAATTGAGTTTTGAGTCATGTGTTTAGTTACGATTTGATTGTGGAGTTGTGTTCTGAGTTTAGAATATTAAAATAAAAAAAAATTAAAATATTTACAAAAAAAAACTAAAATATTGAAAATACAAAAAATTAAAAATATTTAAATAAAAATTATATATTTAAAATAAAAAATATAATTTTCTTAAATATTTTTTAATATTTTAAAAAATTAGATCCAAAAAAGCAAGGGTAATAAGAGTAATAAATTCTAAAAAATAATTCATAATTTAATTAATATATAACAT